CCCCAAAACCCCAAAACCCCAAAACCCCAAAACCCCAAAACCCCAAAACCCCTAATATTTAGTAGACATTGAATTTATTATATTTCTAGCTATGTTTAAAAAAATGGGTATGAAGCTTCAAAGCTTCACAAGGAGCATTGACATCTATGGAGCAGGAATAACCCTTAACTATAAAGGACACTACAGATTTCAGACAACCTTTGGGGGAATCGTTGGGATTCTGGTTGCTATAACATTGATAGGCTTCTCAACTAGTCTGATCCTAAACATGTTTAGAAGGAGTGAAGTTATGTTCAACGATAGCAGTATTATGAGGGATCCTTCAACTGATACAACTGAGCATTTCCCAGCTCAGAAAGGATTTGCAATTGCTTTTGGGCTGAGAGACTCAGACCACAGCTTTCTTGATGAGCATTACCTCAAAATGTTCAATCTAGAAGTTTTCCAAAGAACCACTGTTAAGCTATCAAACGGAGACACTAATATAACAAATGAAAAGCTTGAAGTAACAAGATGTGAGGACTATCTTCCATACCAAAACAAGACAATTCTGAAGACTTTTAAAATTGACAAATATGTTTGTGTCAAACCGACTAACTACGTTATTTCTGGAAACTGGTACACAGATGTTCTTAAGAATCTCAGAATAACAGTCGAGAAATGCACAACTTTGGTAAGAGATGATTGAGCTGAAGAGGATACAATTAATTCAGAATTGGGTGGCTATTGGTTTGATGTTGTCATGATAGACAGTTACTTTGATAGGAAAAGTTTCTCTAACCCAATCAAATCTTACCTCACTCAGAAGTACTTTTATACTTTGGAAGATGGTTTTTTTTAGCAACACTGATATTTTCTTGAGAGAAAATATACTTAACATGCATGACGACTACACTCTTCTTGAAGGATCAAAAGATGGAAAATTCTATTCGGTAGCTGGGGAGAAAACTTCTCGATACAAATGGAGTTATCGTCACCTTGGAAGAGTAAATCTTTATCTTGATGCTGAGACGGTTACTTATGAAAGACAAGTGTTCACAGTCGCTGACCTCCTTGGAAACATTGGAGGTATCTTTAGCCTATTACAATCATTAGCAGGCATAATCGTTGGAATGTATGCAGACAGAGTCTTCAAGCATTCGATTATTTCAAAACTATACACATTTGATACGGATGAGATAGATAATAAGTCTGACTTAGATGAGGCTGATTTGCCCTGAGACTCCCAGAAGAAAATTAATTTGAAAGATAATATATACAATGGATCTTATCGTCAAGATTTTGAACTTGAGGAAGATAAAAAGCATGATAGTGAAGAAGATGAAGGTGGTGAACCCCAAATTCCCGTGGTTCATAAAGATAAACGGTGAGAGATTTAACGAGGAAGAAGCTCATTCGCTTCTGAACACAATGAAGGGTAAAAGGAGATATGGATACACTCCTTTAGACTCGCTGTATGGCTTATTTTGCATTTTCAAGAAAAAGACATGGTGTCGTAGAAGATACAAGAACTCTCAGATTTATCAAAAAGGACTCAATAGATATTGCCAAGACTTGGATGCAGCAAATATTGTACAAAACTTGCACAATCTTAACCTCTTGATGGGGATTATCTTTAATGATAGACAAAGAGTGCTCTCAAAGTTCAGCAGGGAAAGATCAATAAACAATGAAGATGGCTATATGCAAAACTCAATGGACATGATATTGCAGTACAAATGAACTAATTTTGAAGCAAAGAAAGAGCAATACCATGAGGCAGTTCAAGGTAACGGCATTTTCATATTTATAGACTTCGTAAATAACTTAAAAGCCAGCGAACTTTCAGAGTACGATAAAAGACTTATCAATCAAATTGAGCCTGGGTTGATGCCCATAGATGAGTCTAGTCTTGTGAGCAAAGTTCATACATCCAAAAAGAGTAGTGATAGTCCAGCTCCAGACAGAAAGAATGTAGCAGAGGTTGAAACTTTGAAAAGGAGAAATTCTCCAGGTAAACTTTTGAATGAGGAAGATTAGTTAGCAAATCAGTCTTCTGAGTATCATTACGGCTGTCATAGGTTCCTTTATTAGCTAATAATATTGACACTTTTGCTCTAATTTTCAGCTAATTTTAAATTCCTAGACCGCGTCTGTGCCAGTCCAGATGATGTAAAACTTGAATTGAAAGACAATAATCCACAAAGCAAGCCAAGACCTGATTTGCTGGACGATGAAGACAAAGTGTAAGGCGTTACTAAACTCCTCAATTTAACTATATTCTCATCTAATCACTGAGAGATCTTACCCCAACTTAGTTTATGGAAGCAGTCTTCCTTCCTCTTAAGAATTACTGACTTGAGATTAATTCGAAAGTGCTATAGCAACCAACTTTACTTTCTGTTCAAGCTATTTATTTAAAATGCAACTATTTTCTGCCTTTGGGGTCCCACGTATTTATACGCATAAGTCTTCTCATATGTGGACTATAGATCTTCAGAACTTGAGGATATTGGTATTAGGAATAACACTCAAGGGGAAATACTATGCGCTAGAAAAAGATTACAGTAATTGTAACCTACCTCAGATAAGTTTTATACCCCAACTTCATGTACCAAAGGGTCTAAACCAAAAGCCAGAGGTAACAAGAAATAAAGCAAAGGCAACTAATCAGTTTAATCTTAAGGACTTACACTAAGCTATATAAATATTTGAATAGATTATTAATTCATTCGAAATTATCATAAGCCCAGCCAGACTAGATTCTCCTAACATAAAAATATTGCCTAAGAATCATACTAAAATGGTTCAAATACATCGGAAGGAAAGCAACCATGGTTATTGCTGGCTGTGGAAACATCTGATGATAGGCAGGGATTGGATTAATTTATAACGGTTGGGTACCTGGTTCTTACTTTGCTGAAAACTGAAGAAAGGAAATTAAATGTGTTAGGATTATATTTGATAGTTAAGGGATTTTTGGGGTTAAAATGCTTATTGAAATTGAGAGAAACATCATTTTGAGGCTAGATTTAGTTTTGATAAGATTATCTGACAATTTCTAGAATAAAATATATAAATTTTTTCTTCAGAGAGAAATTCTTATAGATAGATTTTTAAGGTTACCCTTTAAATATTCTTTTTCAACACTGGTGACTCGACTTGGGGTTTTGGGGTTTTGGGGTTTTGGGGTTTTGGGG